TCGCAAGTTTCCCATCCCCGCACTGACAGGGCCTAAAATGTGATAAAGCTCCTAAAGAGTGGTCCTTTCATCGGGGAGGTCTTCCCGATTCATCGCCCCCAACGCCACCCTACCAACTCGGCCGTACGACGCCCTTCCGGCTTAGCTTCCAGCCATTCTAGGTATTGTATTCGCTGCTTACTCTTTCTTCAGCAAGAAGCTCTAGCTGATCCAAGAGGGTTTGGTAGATCTTGAGTGACAATCTCACACAAGTTACATAATAGTAAGAAGTACGGGAGGGCGTTCGGCGCCGGCCTACACAGCCACTACCATTGTACGGCTCTACTAAACGACTTAGAGTGTTTCTAGACGCATTGACAGTCCTTCTTCTGGTCCAAACTATCGTCGGCCAGGGTTCATGCAGAAGCGTGTGTCAGGAAAAGCCCACCCGCCATGTGGGTTCCCCTTGCACCATGCTTCACGTACTTCGTACCTTCTTTTTTTCTCCTTCCTGCAGCGGGCAGCAGTTCTGACCCCTCGGTGGACTAGCCCGCTTTTGCTCTTTTCGCCCGGAAGTCTGCCGCGTCGACGCAGAGACAAGCGCAGGTATCTGTGGGTGTGGTGGGTGTGTCACTGTGGGTTGGCCATGGTGAAAGATGGGCTCGCGCACTCGCGCGATAGAGGTCTTGGCCACCGGGTGGGATTCGAGGAACTGTGAGTGGGAGAGGGGAGGGGGTCCAATGCTGCCCACTGCGTAGCCTTCTTAATTCGTTCCAGTCTCTTTTTCTCATAGAAGGAGGTAGGTCGGATAAAGGGCCTTGCTTCATATTAAAGAAGACCGGCGGGTCGCACAAACATCCTGGAGAATGGAGATGCCCTTTTCCTTCCCCCTTCGCTTCTTCGATTGCTACTGGCTTTTTCCTGGGTTTAATTACTTGTTTCCCTTCATGATTCCCCCCAGGGTATCTAGGAGATGACCACATATCCGAGGCGGTATGGCCGGCGCTCGCTATTACTGCTCCTACTGTGGTGTATTGCTTCGGTAGTTGAGGCTCAGAGCGTCGCCGGCCTGCTCACACAAATCCCTAATTGCGCAGTAAGTCAACACCAACGTCAAGTTTCTGTCGTTTGCTCAACTCTGTTGTTTGCTTTTTGTACTTGCATGCCCTTGCATTCCCGGCATGGGGCCTTGTCAAATGTTCTCCGGGCCGTATGGAGTACAGTAGGGCTGACTTGTCATGTTTGTTGCGATAGCTTCCATGCATTACACAAGGTCTACAAGAGGGCAACTGCAGCTTGGCATCGGTTGCGATTGTGGCCGAATGTCTCTGTCCCAATATCAAACTGCAGTCAGATTTGTCAACGTGTGTGCAACTCAAATGTCACCTCGAAGACCAAGCTCGTAGGTTTTCTGCAAGTATCGACACGATATTCGCATACTGATGACTGCCAGGCGCCGCCAAGCTCGAGACAAGTCTTTGCGATGCGTATCCCAAAGAGTCTAGGAGTAATGAAGTCAAGACTATCGCCATCGCGCTGTCAGTCATCACATTTCCCGTTGTTGCGTTGCGGTGCATATCAAGATGGAAGATCACCAACAAGTTGTGGTGGGATGACTGGACAGCCATCTTCGCAACAGTGAGTGAACTCTTCGCAACACCAAAGACGAAAGCTGACGAGAAATCAGATGTTGCTAGCCGGCTTGGCCGGCATCGAAATTGCGAGTGCCGACCTAGGATTCGGAACTCACTACTGGAACATTGAACTCGATGCTGGAACGAAACTACTCAAGCTTTTCTACGCCGTTCAGCAACTCTACATCATGATTCAAGTCTTCGCCAAAATCTCGATCCTGTTGTTCTTCTCCCGAATTTTCCCGGCAAAGTGGTTCCAGCTCACCGTCCGCTACTTTATCATGTTTTTGCTGCTCCACGGGCTGATATTCCTTCTGGTTATCGTGTTCCAATGCACGCCAGTCTCTTCGGTTTGGGACAGAAGCAACCCGAACCGGACATGCCTCAACGTGACCGCCATTGGATACGCCGGAGCAGTCTTCAGTATTGTGGAAGACTTGGTGATCTTGGTTCTGCCTATCCCCGAGTTGGTGAAGCTCCAGCTCAATATAAGGAAGAAAATTGCGCTGGGCTTCATGTTCAGCCTTGGCTCATTGTGAGTATTTCTTTACAGCCATATTGGTCTATCGTTATCGACGGTTGTGACTAACATAGTTCGCAGTGCCTGTATCACAACTATGGTTCGTTTGAAATATCTCGTCATGTTCTCGAGCACTTTCGATACTACGTGGGACAACGTCGACATTGTCATATGGTCCATCATCGAGGAATTCTGCGCCATCCTCTGCGCAAGTCTTCCAGCACTCCGGCCTTTGCTTCAAAAGGTCCCGCAACTCTTCTCCAGCAACAAGACCAACACCAAAGATCAAAGCTTAGGGACGGTAAACTCAAGACGCTCTATGCTCAATATTGGAAAGGACAAGTTCCACGAAATTCCCGAGACGCCGTCAATGGCTTCAGAACTACCACCCACACCAATCGATCTTGCAGACGAGATGGCGGCAAAGGCCGACGGGAAGCGTCAAGTCCTCATCACCAAGGATGTCAAGGTCAACGTAGCCAATTTTGAGCTGCAAAATGTCAAGTCTGGCAGGAAATGGCAAAAGAACGAAAATGGGAGGTTCTAATTGGTCAAGGAGGCAGATGGGAAGAGAGTCGAAAGTATTCAGCGTTATGGATAAACGTTTTTTTTTGTATTACATTGGCATTAAAGCGACGGCGAACTTGGAAACTTGATTTGGGAGCGGCGGAATACCAATACCCAGAATACCATTTTGTTTCAGCAAGGGTATAGAACACGATCAAACTTGGGATGTGTGTATAATGGAACGAGTAATGAGCAGATCAGCCGTCGCGCGCTTTGTCCAACTCCTGCGTCTCTCGTGTCTCTGCCTTCTGCTCCTCCGTAACCAAGTCCCAGTCCTCATCCAACTGCCGACGATATTCTGCCGCTGCCAAGCCAGTGGCGACCACCAGATCGAGGTCGAGATCTGCGAGAGCGGCATGCAGCTCGAACCCGGGTCCCCGCCCGGCCTTGCTCATCGTGTTTGTATGACTTGCAGGTGCAGGTCGGCTCCCGCCTTCTCCACTCCCTCTCGAACTGTGTCCTTCCTCTTCTTCTCCTCTGGGGCCAGCATTCACCACGTGCAGCCTCGGACGGAAAAAAGCTAGAGTTTTGCCGTTGAAATCGATGAGCTTCATGCCTTTGCCGTGCTTGCCCAGATCCTCCCACAGCATCTCGCCCACGCCCAGGAAGCGGAAGCTGAGAGTACTAGACAGGGGGTGCTTGCGTGCCACCTTGAACTTGACACCTCGGACGGTAGCCTCTACCCTCGAGGGTAGTGTGCGGAGTTTGACAGCGGCGATGGGGCGGTGTTCTGCGGAGATGGCGTCGCAGTTTACTCGCCGGATTTCCATTTTGGTCATTTTGGTGTTATGACTGATTGTGTATACTGGGATGAGACACTCTTTGTGTTTGAGTAAGTTGACAACGATAGCATCCTCGTTACCTCTACTGAGGACAAGGATGTGTCGCGGCTCTGGTGGGATTTCCATAAGGTATGTGAGGAACTAGCTCAGAAGAGACGAGCAGCGCTGGTAAATTCTCAGGTTTCCTACATTAATATCAAGTTTCATCTGCTGAGAAGACGTTGAGGAAATGTATTCCGCGGGTTTCTTGTAGGTTCGTTGACGTATGCCAAAGTTTCCCAAGGTTACTCAGCAAGACTCTCAGCAAGACTATCTATGGGCGGCATCCCACGGTGCTCTGAAAGTATGTAGACCGAAGACGGGATGGAGAAGGCCATAGAAGGTGGTTCATCTATGAATCTCGGGCGCAATGGTGAGACGGATGGGCGAACCAAAGTGTCAGATCCATGAGGGGAGCTGAAGCTGCCACACTTGGCATCTAAAACCAAGCCCAAGGCACCCGTCTCCTATCGCTCGATGCGCCGCGGCGGCTATGCTGTGTACCTTTCTCCGATGACGTATGCCTCAATATTCCTCTGGTAGAAGCTGATGTGCCGACGACGGGAAAATCCCCAGTATCCCACATACGGCCAAGCTCGGGCATTTTGGCAGCGATTTAAGGTTTCGGCGAGGGCGGGGCGATCGGAGGTGGAGTCGCTTTGCAGTTCACCGTCAGGGACAAGCCGCGATGCCGGTACTACCGGGGGAGGGAATCTCGATACGACGGGCGCATCCGCGTGTGACCGGAGACTTAATCGATCTTGTTCCTCTCTAAAGCTTGACTGGCATATGGCTGGGTATCAGAAAGGGGCGTGTCTAGCCGAGACCAGCCCATTGTCGCGTGTTACTGCAAGGAACGCATGGTTTGGTTAATTCATGGTTCCGTTGGAGGAACTCTCTTCTTCGATCGTGATCGAACACATGTCGAACCTGCTGAAGCTTTGGAAGAATGTGAAGATGTGTCAAACTGGACATATGAATGAAGGAAAAAAAGAAGAGAATGTGGTCAAGTCCCACATTATCCATCAAAGTTGCATCAATGAAGAGTATGCACATAAGAAATAAATGCAACACTCATCTGGCCATTCGGAAAGACAAGCAGTAAATGCATCTATGCATCTAAGCAGCTATGACGATGGTGGGGCTAATTCCATAACAGCCTGGAAGGAGCTCCCCGAGGTCGTTCCTTCCTGCAGCAATGGCACCGTGCTTTTGGGGAGGTACCTTCCGTCAGCAGCAGGAGCAGCAGGAGCAGCAGCAGCAGTGACAGGAGCAACGTGGACGGGCAACCGGGAAGCTTTGCCCGCACCCAACGACCATCACCACCCGACATCACGATCCTTTGACAAACTTGGGCGTGCGGCTCTTCACACCACATCCTTGTCAAAACACAATTCAAAGCTGCGACACCGACACCCGGTCTCATGAATCTTTGACGCAAACCTCCCCCACCGGCCATGAATTGACCTGCAAGTCAAGATGCCTCCCCCCGAGTCCCGCCCCCTCCTTATTCCTCAAAACCGCAAGCTTCGTCATCTTCGAGGCATCTACCTGCGAAACCTGAGCTTCATTCGCCCTCGAGGCCACACCATTGATGACACTGCTGTGAACAAGACATCCTCGAAGCTCGAATCTCTTCGCGACACTCCTCAGCTCCAACATGCTCTCTCCAGCGACAATCTGCGACCCAAAGCGCTGCGCCGCCGCAGCACTGCTCTGGCCCAAGCTACACCAATCACGAGACAGCGGATGCTACAGTTGACCATCGACGGTAGGGCCGCCGATGTCTTCTTCTCGCTGCATTGCGAAGGCGAAGATGAGCCAGTCTATATTAGTGAAATGCAGGAGCATGCGACGGTATGTCAAATTCCAATCCTTATGTTCCACAGCCGGACTGACAAGGCGACCAACAGAACTTCAACTTTCAATTCTTCGATCTCAACCACCATGGCCCCTCTGTCACCCGCTCCCCGGTGATGACGATCAAGATCTGGGCGAAGCGAACAGCATGGACTTTGCTGCTTCAAGATACAATCGATCTCCGAAGTCTCCATTTCATCGGCAGCCTCCAGAATCGCAAATTCCCGCCCAACGGCCTCATCTTCCACCTTGCCGACGGTATATACTCGCTCGATGTCCCGGCCAAGCCCACGCACCCGAAGGAGCTGCCACCCCTCCACACATCTTCTTACAACGCTCTGATGAAGCTCGCGACTCTGGACAACTCTATCCAGGACGCCATTGCGACACAGGAGCAGCTCACATCCCAAATCAACGACATCCTAGATGAGACCGCGCACAACGAGACACCAGCCGCCGAGGAGAAGGTGAAGCTGGCCAACAAATACGTGGCCCAAGAGCTGCGATCCTTGAAGGCAGCCGAAAAGCGGCGAGAGGAGCTACGCGAGTCTCTCAAGTCGCGTCGAGAAGCGATTGCCCAAGGCCGCGCCCTCCAAGATAAGCTGGCAAAGGATATTGTCGACGCCACAGAGCACCTATCGGCATCTAAAGAAGTTCTTGCCAAGACCAAGGAGACGATTCGCGGTCAGCGACGCCGCATTTGCGCAGACCTCGGCAACATCTACCAGATCACGCCCTGCCCCACGAGTGCTCCCCTCTTTTTCCAGATCGCGGGTCTGCCCCTTCCAAATACGAGCTACGACAGCGCCACTTCACGCGGCCCCGATGACGACCTTCTCTCCGCCGCTCTGGGCCATGTTGCTGCTCTCACCAATGCGCTGCAATACTACCTCTCTGTGCCGCTTCCATACCCAATCACGCCTTTCGGCTCACGGTCCCATATTCGCGACGATATATCTCTGCTTACCGATCTGAACTCGGTGCAGGCGGCTCGACAGCGCGATTTCCCCCTGTACCTCCCGCGAGGTGGGTCGACCGCGGCCCAGTATCGCTTCGACTACGGTTGGTTCATTCTCAACAAAAATATTGAGGCACTCTGTGCCAGCCAAGGGTTGAAAGTCGTCGACATACGTCATACGTTACCCAACCTCAAGTATCTCCTGTACGTGTGCAGCGCCGGCACCGAAGAAGTTCCCGAGCGTAAGCGAGGCGGCGTCCGTGGTCTCTGGGCGGGACGGTTTAAAGGTCGCATCCCTTCGTCGGTGGCAGGCGTTGGCGATGAAGACTCGAGCAGCGTCGGCGGCAGTCGCCGTGGCAGCACCGACAGCGAGGTGCTCAGCCGGCAGCGTGATGAGCTTAGGAAGGCCATGACCGTTCGTGACGGTGCGAATTCCCCTGTCGACTACAACTTCACTCACGGGAATGGTGGGTCTGCGGGCCTCCCATTCGATGATTTCAAAGTGTCGCTGAGAACCAAGGGCATGAGAGAAAACGCTGGGAATTGATGGCAGCCGTTGCCAGAAAATTCAGGATGGTTCAACGTTGGTCGAATTACGTGGTTTCATTGTTTGAGATACCCCGGCGATTCGTCGCCGCCATAATAAAATTGCTAATGCTGGAATCAATCGTGTCGAACAACATTCGGTGGGAATCGTCTCCATGCCCCCAATGCCCCAACTGGAAAAAAGTACATGTAGCAACACCGTGAACAACATGCGTAGAAATACGCCATATGCTCCCCTCAACGCCGTGAAACACCAAATAACACAACCCGACACCATCCTTCCGTCATGGCAATTACAGAGACCGCCAGAGACGACCGAGCTGCCACTAACGCTCCGTCGGCACAAACTTGACGCTCTTCCTCCTCTCGCGCTCGCCGGGTCCAGTCCTGCTCCCCGGGCTTGAACTCAGTATCCCTGACGTAGGCGTACCGTTCGCCAACGCCTCGCGAACGCTCTCCACCGCACGACTCTGCGGCACTTCGACGCTGTCGCCGCGGACATTGGGCGGGATCACAGGACTCCGTCCCCCTTCGGCTTTACCCCCTCCACCGACGCCGCCAACCAAACCGCCCCCGCCGATGCGTACTTTCTCGACAGCTGCACGACCAAGCTCGTCTGAGCGCGTCGTCGACTTCTCATCCCGCCATTTGCCGGGAAGACACGCGTGTCCGCAACCGTCGAGGGGACAACACCCGTCGCTGAGCTCGTAGCTGCCGTCGTCCGAGGGCGCGTGCCAATCTTGAAGACAGGTCGCGTGACCGCCGTGGGCGCAGCCGGGACAGTACCACCATATGCTCATCACCGGGTCGGTTGGTGCCGGGGCGGCGGAGACGCCTTCGGCGAGGGAGAGCATCGTCGCTGTGGTCTCGCGGTGGCCGCATACGGCGCAAGGGGCCATTGTTGTTCGGCAGCGGTCGCATTTCCACAGGGCCCTGGAGCCGAGAGACGGGTCCAGCTCTCGCGGCTTGTGGCAGCTAGGACAGATGAAACCGCCCTTGACGCCTTGTTGAGCGGGGCCGAAAATGGATGTGTAGTTTTCGCCCCAATCTGGAATACCTTCGGGCCAGCCTTTGATACAGAGCTTTCGGAGGAGGGCAGCTTCGATGAAGAGCTTCATTCCTGTCAGGCGTGAGTGGTGTTGCCGGAGGATGGAGGATGCGCGATGGGGATCGATGACGGATTCGGGCACGAGAGGCTTCAGCAGTAGGACCATGGCGGAGGCGTTGAGTGCTGATGTCCGTGTTTCAAAATCCAGGGCGCGAGATAGGAGGGTATACGGGTTCAGCGGCGGTGAGCGGTCCTCCTCTGGGTTCGATGATAAAGGATGTGGGTATGATGGGTCCTCCGGCCATGGGAGGTAGTCGGACTCGAGAATATTCGGTGTTGTGTCGTGTTGAGGGGCTGTGGCGATCCTCGGAGGGCTCGACGCAGCAACACCGACGTGAAGAGGTGCATGGTCTTCGTAGGTCGCAGGTAGTGATCCCAGCTGTGAATGTGTCGACGGTTCATCCGTAGCTGTATCAGAAGCCATGGTCGTCTGAGAAATCATAAAGATTTCTTCTGGAGATTCTTTGGGCATACTCTCGCCAGGACCATGCAGCGATGCCAGGGCACCATGTTCTGGAGAGTCCTCGATTTCTTTGCCACGGATGCGGCTTTCATATTCGCCCTGCTCTTTAGCATTCCTTTGATGTGCAAGCTGAGCGGGATAGCTAGTGATGGAGTGAGCCGACGCTGATGTACCCCCTTCGGAGGATGATGCCAGCCCAGAAGTCTGTCGGCTGCTCTCGGACATGGAGAACATTTGAGAAAAGCCATCAGAGTCATGTCGCAACGGGCGTCGACTATTCGGCGTGCGGGGGCCATAGTCCAAGGGCTTCTGCTCCTTTTTCTTTGGCTCGGGCACATCTATCGCTTGAGACAGTGCGTCAGTATCATAGAAGTCGTATCCCTCTGTGATGGAGGCCTGCGTCTGATCGCTTTCATGACTTGTAGTAGACAAAGGAACCGAGTCCAGCCGTCTCCTTGGACTTATGTTGAACGTACTGTGGGCAGCGGGGGGCAAAGCAAAGCTATCCAACTCTTTGACCGGCGGCAGCTGAGCTTCCTCAAACTGATCCGCATTTTCCTCGTTGATGGCCCTCGCAATTGGGGTTGCAACGTTGGATGTGCTTTCAATCTCTTCGGAGAGCAAGGACCGCGGCCCCAAAGACTTGCTGTCTATGCCATTGGATGTAAGAGCTGACGGCCGTCGAGGGGTTTCTTCCCCATTCATCTCCACAACAACATCCAATGCTCTCGGTACCCTGAGCTTGGGTACGTCTTTGCCTTTGGAAATGGACCGCCTCTTCTGGAATCGCCCAAGTCGCGTCTCGAGGTGGAACTGCGCTCTTCTGCTCAACAAGAGGTTCATTGAGTAAGCCAGAATCCGCCATGTCTGTGCTAGGCGGAACAGATTGACGTGTTCTGCAGCGCGTGCGTATTTCTCCATAATGCCAGAGATTCTTTGCGCTAGTGGTTTCGCTCCATCGACAAACGGGAGGTCTTTGTCCAGAGTCTCAAGATAGTAGCTGGAAAGATATTGATAAACATCGACTCTTGCTGCTGCAGGCACATGACCAACAGCCATAGACTGCTGAGTCTTGTAAGTGCCTGTGACTTTGATGGCTTGCTCAAGACCCAGAACGAGATCGTCGCCTAGGCCTGGCCCTGATGGAGGGGTGGTGCTGAGGACAGGGATGGAGCGCAGACTGTGCCTGCGTTTCCTGCTCACTCGCCGACGAGGCCCTAAAAAGCTGCCGACGACATCTTCTTCAGAATCACTGCGACTGATGCTCAGCATCGGTGTCGTCGGACTTGAGCTGTAGGATGTTCGTGGAGGCACGACGCTTGGCTGATGATGGACGATGGGAGGTCGTGGGCGGTCATGTAGTCGCTCGTCGAGGAACATGACGGCATCGCCTCTAGCAGATAGTGCCATCGTCGACACAGATTGCCTATCGAGGACTTTCGGGGCAAATGCTACATCGCATTGGTTGAAAAAGCCGTCGTGGCCGACGGTCCAGAGAAGGTCCTGGTTCTGCCACAACAGACCTGAGGGGGAGATCTCGAAGCGCTCAATCTCCTTGTATGGCATGGATGGCCTGGCCAAGTCCCAAATGTGTACGGCGTTGATACCGTATCGCTTGTGGCTGCCGTCGTCGTAAGAGACAGCAACCTGAGCGGCGCGTTTTCCCTGAGCGCTGGCAGACCAAAGACCAGGCCGCCACGCCACCGCAGACACAGAGGAGGGTGTGTAGATGACCCATCGAGGCTTTTGACGTTTATCAGCATTCTTGGACATATCCCATACAGCGCATTTGCTGTCCCAGCCGCCGCTGATCAGATGGTTGCCATCCGGATGCCACGAGATGGAGGCGCAGGCCTTGTCATGCGCAGGGATCTTGAGCAATGGCTGAGCAATCTTGCGTACGTCCCACTTGAGCACGACGCCAGACTCGGTGCCACAGGCAAAGTAGAAACCATCTTTGGGTGACCATTTGACCTGCCGGACTCCGTCCGCATTGCACTTGTATGCCCCTCGAGGGCTGTAGGTGAGCCCCCCTGACCTGCTTTGTACTGGCGCGCGAATGTCGAAATACCGCACCAGACCATCCTGACTCCCGGAGAGTAAGGTGGTTTGCCTATGAGGGTTGATGTCGAGACTGTTGACCTGTCGCGAATCCTCCCTCGTCTGAACGAACTCGAGCGCAGCGCCGCCGGTCGCAATCCTCGAAAGGTCGTAGGAGAAGATCTTGCCGTTGGCACAGGCAGTGAAGATGGTGGCGTCGCCATGCCATTTGACGTCTCGAATGGAGAGTTGGTCTGCCGTCAGAGAGCTCGATGCGCCCTTGCTCGAGGCGGAATTGATAGCGGCGCGGAGGTCGGTGCCTTCGCTGACGGACAGGCCGTCGAAGAGGATGGTCTTGAGAACATGTCTACCGGCGATGACAGCAGCTCGGTGATCGGTGGAGGTATCGAGGCATAGAATGGGGGCGCCGGCAGGGTAGACGACGTTCTGAGAGGCACTGGGTCTGTAGGAGGCCTGGTATTGCGGCGCACTGGTGATGCCGATGGAGTGGGTGTCGGTGCTGCTTTCGGCAGTTACTTTGCCGAGGAGTTTTCTCATGATCTTGTTTTCGCGGCTATACATGGAGCTCGCACGGCGCCATTGGCAGCGCCGTTATAATGTGGTCGGTATGCCGAGGGCTTATTCGGGTGGTGAATGTGATGCGATGGTAATGAGTCGAGTCGCACCTCCAGTAGAAGCGGCGACAGCGACTGGCAGGTAATCGGGCACTTTGGTAGGTGCGAAGCTCGGCGCGTCCAAGCTCAACCGAAGTCGTCGATAAGAAGATTACGATAAGAGGGGTGGTGTCTATCGATAAGATTAGATAAGTAATCATGGTGGGGTCTCCTTTTGCCTCCAGCTTCCATTGCTCTCCTTTGGTTCATCACCATCCAAAACTCCATTATCAACTATCGCCTCTTTGGCTTCTAGCCCTGCGCCCTATCCCTATGAAAAACGTACGGTCACATACTTCGACAGGAAAGACCAATTGCCGGCCATGACTATGCAATGACAATCGGTGCAAACGAGACAGTGGCTGGCTTGCTTGCGAACTCGCTCACCAGACCCCACCACTTGGATCGAATTACATCTAGACAATGACACGATTTCCTCGATTCGCGGAACTTCGCCTTCTTCGAACCAATGTATAGTTACGAAACTTTATTTGCGATACCTTTAGAGCGATTCTTCGTATCAAGTCATCCGCCATCAATCTCATAACTCATCGTCTTGGTCACACGCCGTCCAGAGGAGTTGATCTGCCCTCAACGTTCCATGTTGCCATCGTCCCTTGCACAGGGAATTCTCTCGATAACAGCCGCGATGCAACATCGTACAGCCCACGCTACTTCAAATACGGGAACGCCAGACGCTACTACTGAGTCACCCGCGATTGCTGTCGTCGCCACCAACTATTACGCCACCAACTATTAGGTGCGTTGAGAATCAGGCAGGTCACCTCAGCATGTAGCTGCCAGCTGCCTCGTCATGCTCTCCGAGGCCTCATTCTTTTGGACTTCTCGACTCTCCCCCTCGGAGCTCTCGCTGGCTGGAATGTCCTGGTCCTCCCCGCCTCTCTTGCCCGCCGCCGTTCTCCCCTGTCAAGCGTCAGCAAAGTGTATGATCAAGGACGATTGTCAGATTCTACATACAAAAGCTGGTACAGCTCTTCAGTCTCAAGGTCTGATATGGCTGAGTCCGAACCACGACGTTCATATCCCACCTCGATGGGCCCTTGTGGTAACGATACTGCGGGCAACGGCACTGCAGGTGCTGCTGGGATATCGACTTCCCTATGGCTGCTGACCTCGGGAGATGTGGGCGAATTCGAAGTCAATACTGCATTTTCCGATAGCCTGGGCATACTCAATTCCAAGCCTGGGTCTTGCTCGTTGTCTCTTGAAGCAAGTTCCCACATCTGATACGCTAGTACTTCGTGGGGGTGGACTGAGGACAAGTATTGCGCCAATGGCTGCTCCGCTTTGGCATCTTCGGCGCCTTCGGTAGTCCCGAAAGGCGACGTGCCACGTTCGATCTGTTCATACACTCCAGGTACTCTTCTTTTCCCAAGAATTACCGATCCGCAGTTGGAAGAGTTCGCGTCGTGCCCGTCATCGTTGTCGGGAGGCAGCCATAGCGCCCGTCTCTCATGCGATTGAGGGCATGCCAAGTACGATTCCAACGGCCCAGCGGCTGGTGGTGTTTTTGACGCCAAGCTATCAGACGATGAAGCCTCGGGCGTTGCTGGAGTTCCAGGCCGCGACCGCGCTGCTCGTACTGTCTCGTCATGTTGCAAGTGTGTACTCTTGGCAGTGCTTCCATTGACATCCACGACAGACTCAGGAGATGGGGCGGATGACCGACGAAAAGCTTGTTTTGGGAGCTCAATCTCTGGGCTGGTTTCAATTAGAACACAATCCTCGTTTCGCCGAGCAGAGAGAACGTTACCGGAACACACTCTTCTCTTCTATCCTCGGTTCTAAGCTGATGCTTGATCCGCCGGGTGATCTCGATCCATCGCGACAGAAGCCAACTACGTTGACCTCCGGGCTCATGCCAATACCATGATATTCGATGTTCTCCAAGTCGGGATAGGAACCAGAATTCGTTATGGTCATCCTGCAGGACGAAAACACCACACTACCAAGGCGTATGGCTTCTCTCTTCGCCAGTTGAGTTCGAATCAGCAATGATCGATGGTGGTAGCAGCCAGCTTTGGGTAAGGGAGTGAGTAGGGCAGGAAAAGCAAAGATTGCACAGAATAAGTCCTCAAACTGGAGGACAAAAAGTAGCACTATCCTCTGATCTTCTCTTTCGGACTCTCGCGCACGCCAACACAGGACGAGAAAGTCCCAAGCTGGCGGCGCAGCAAGGCGACCACTATCACGCTTTGAGAAATCCCGAATCCAGAGCGTTGGGTTCCGGCCCGCGTGAAAGTCTGCACATTGGCGAGACAGGGAACGGTCACACTTTTAACTGACCACCTTCATCGTCCCAGGCCGAAGCCTTTTCTGCAGACGGACGCTCCTACAATCCCTGGACAAGACAAAAAGGTCTGGCGACAGGATGGTGATACGACCACTCGTTGATTATGGTGGGGTTGTGCAGGGTTCCCGACAGAATGGCACACCAATTCCTGGGAGATCCTGGGCGGCAATAAACAGCCACTCTTCCCCGTGGCTCCCACCGCGGAAGCTCGGCGGGGAGACGCCAACAGGGCTTGATCGGGGGGGCCCTGGTTGTCATTCTTTCTTTTTGTCATGGCACCCAATTCCCAGCTTCATTTCAAGAAGCAGCTGCCTCGTCTGAGAGGGTGCCGTTTGGCTGGAAATTGCACCGGTGGTATGGATAGATGCGCTGCAACCCTCTTCCCCTTGCTTGCCAACGGGGTTTGCTCTGCCCATCCATTTTCTGCATGTCTCTGTCTGCAAATTTCTACGGAGGTGTGGGAGGACTCATGGATGGGCTGATGGGCTTGTAGTTTGACGATGATTGACATGCACAGCTCACCACATGAGTGAAAAAAGCAAATCTTGCTCATTGCTGCTAGGTTGGCTCTGTCTGTTAATGAGCGAAAGCGGACTCGAACGTTGCATTGAAGACTATCATTTGCCCATCCGGGAGAGACTTGCATCCATCACAAAAGCACAGAGCCGAGCGCATTACTGAATTATTGAAGACTTAATCTCTGTGTTGCAGACTTGCATATACGTCAGCGGCATTCTCATCCGGATATAAGACTTCGGGATTTGAACATTCTCTCAATTCTCAAGTTCCTCAATTGCTGCCACCTCGTATCATCTCACCTTTTATGGTTCCGTTTGTCTTTCCCGTCAAAGTTTTGACTTCGACTCGGCATTCATCCCCATGCAGGGAGGCGTTGTTAATGAGCTAGGATTGGCAAGAGATTCGTCAGTTGTTCAGGGGCAGCCCGGACGTCCCGTCGCGCCCGCTCCTCCTTACCATTCTGCTGGGTCGTCCCCGCCGTCAACTCGTGTGTTGGCAGATTGTGCGGCCCTGGCGAACCATCACATCTTTCGAACATTTTCTATCAACTTCATCCTCCTCCCTTACTCTCGGGACCAGACTGCAGATCTAAATAATACATCATTAATGCTGTGGATCTGCAAAGCCAGGTCTCGACGAATTGCGTTCTCGACGCTACGATTTCGGTCTGCGTGTAAGTTTCCTCATGCTTGACGCTGCTCATCCCCCATGTTTCTTCGACCTCCTTCGCATGAAGTACCCAGTCACAGTCGCAATGCCAACTGGTCTGCGAAATCGTTAGCAAAGACGCCGCAGCCTGTCTGGCTCACGTACCCAACTCACAGCAACAACACCCGGAGCACGCCCACCGCCATGCCCATCCTTAGTCCAGTCCAGCACTCCGCCGACTGCTCACCGTATTCATTGCAGGGAGCCTTGTCTAGATTGGCCTTCATCGCAAAAATGAGATATGATCCCGTCGCGGTGGCGTTGAGACAGAGGAGGGCGGCAAACCCAACAGAGAGAGCCATCCCAAACCAAGAGCACGCCACCAAGGTGACGATGGTCCAAGCGCCAACCTCGACGCACATGGATATCAGCGATATCATGCTGCGTGTCTTTGTGTCAGTGTTACCGAGTCGACTGGCTTACAAGAACGACGAGCGAGATGGGCAGAAACTCACGAGACAAAGTCGGCCCTCTCAACCAGGCCCTGGAACTTCTTGACTCGTTGAAGGCTCTGTGAGGAGATGACAATTGCAATGACCTCAAAGATGATGAGGACTACATGTCCCGTGAAGATTACCGCTCCACCATTCTCTGGCTTGGACCACCCCCGTGATGACGGCGTCCTCACGCGGGACCTTATTGGCGGATGAGGCCTGCTCGATGCACCATTTGTGCTGTCCCTAAAAGTCTTGAGCGAGCTAAACTTGCCGGTCCAACTCCGAGTCTCATCGGCGTTGGCGTTATGATCTGTCCAAGGTTGTTGCGGTATTGGCGACGGGGGCGGAAATCCGGACCCATTGGTCCCATGGGCCCTCCGTTGTGACTGGTGAGCGCTGGCGGACCTGACCTGCGCCTCCGGATCACTATCGTCAACCATTCTGATGGATGTCGATGCGGCTTGCTTTTCTCTCGATTGAGTCGTTGTTTGAGAGAAATCCGGAGTCTCGTGAAACCCACTCGGGCTAAGGTATGAGCTTATGAGTCTCGAGTGAGCACTTTTTTACTTCTTTCTGAGGCGCTTCATCAGGCACCCGGCGCAAAGTGAGGCGAAGGCCTCCCTCAGCCGCCAAGCACGATTCTGCCTCGTTGATCGGCGAACCCGCCAGACTAACTCATTCAGCCCAGCTACGGAGCCGATCAGCCGACTCACAGTAAGCTTAAGGCTTCGCTCCATGCTTTTGATAAGTCTTCGATGTTCGATGTGGATCAATCTGCCTACTCAGTGAGGCGCAACCGCATCTCAGGTCACCATCATGATGATGCAACATCGACCACCACGGGTCAGACTCAAACGTCGCATTTGATGAGTTGCCGAGTCAAGCTTATGTACGAAGTTTGAGGAC